TGACACTACTGTTTAACTATGTATGTTGTGCGGAATATCCTGCGGAAAAGGATGATAAAGTGTATACGGTCACGCACTACCACGTTTCCTCAGCGCTTGTTACAGTGGTATCTTACACCAAACCTCTAAACCCCAAGAAACCGCCTCGGTCACTTTCACAACGACATTCACCACAATGGTAAGTCACGAGTCTGAGCGAAAATTCTTCCATCGTCAAAAGAGGAGGTCATTTCTGGGGAGCAGAAAACCCAGGTGCATTTCCTTGAGGGAAACGGCATGGAGAGCGCATAGGAATTCACGGAATTCCAAAACCTAGAATAACTATGTGGCACAGAGTAACGTCTTTGTGAGTTCAATCCGCAAGGACCAGGCGCCGCCACCTGCAAGAAACACAAAAGCTTATTGTTCGCGGCATCCGGTTTCGGATTTGCCTGTCACTGTGGTCAGCCACAGGACGCCTGCGCCTACAGAGGGACCATGAGTGGCTCGCGCTGCACTACCCACAGCTCCAACAGCACACCCTATATCCAGCGTAAACCCAAGGGAATAAGATCGGGAGGCATGCGGATGGGAGACGCGTTTCAGCAACGGAGCCAGCCCACGCTTCTTCACAGGCAAAAGTAAGCACGCTATATTTGGGAATCGAGCGCACACAAGGCGGTGGCTGGATCGTTGTCCGCTCCACACTGAGTGCGTGGAACCACTCTTAGTGCCTAGCGCGGCCACAAGGACCGTGCACTCCGTCCCCTCCAGCAACGACCAACGGTCTTCTGCAGCCAGCTGTACGAGGTAGTGGATAAAAGAGAGTTAGGCACCTTGACAACATTAACATCAAGCGCTGCCACACAGGGGATATCAAGCAACAGCCATTCACTTTAAACGAAAAGCTGAAATAAAAGAAATCTAATAATGCATACGGATAGGGTGGCATAACGCCTCGCTAAATTACCCTATGAAATCAGTTGGTTAGTAACGAATCCGCGATAAGTAAGAAATGTCCACAAGATACTTAATAATACTACAAAAGCAACAAAGTTACCGAAGATAAGCGCAATTAGCGTAAGCAACGTGGTCAGTTAATAGAACATTTTATTCAGGTGGGCAGAAGAAACCAAATAGCGTGGAATGAAATTTATCCAGCTTAACAAGACCTAGTTTAAGTGTAATTTGGTTTGGCCCAACTGCGGTGAAGTAGCATGAAGAACGCAACATCAGCCTCAGCATGGGGCACACAAAAGCTTAAACAGCTATGTTAATCGCCTTCTCAAGGTGCAGCGTGGAATTCTAGCACCGATCACAACTGACGGGTGCACGCGATCAGCATTTGAAGCGGCCGAACTTTTACGGCTACATTATGCAAATATTCTAGTGCGTAACAGGCCCAACGGTTATCCTTGTTTTTCTAGTCCCACCGTCAGCCTTATCCACTATTACTTTTACTAAGGAAGAACTGTGTCAAAAACTGGTGTCCCTGCGTATCCAGAGGTTTCCTGTCGTCGATAACCTTCGGAGGAAGGCTTTACAGGCAGCAACCCATGATCTGGCAGAACCTATGGCTATATTTAATTAGCGCTGTATGAAATAGAATCATATTCCAACAATATGGAAGCGAGGACCCATCACTACTCATAATAGAAGAAGCCGCACTGACGCGAATAATCGCCCTCCCAGCACGCTACTTCCTGCGCTTTCTAAGGTTATGGAGTCTATTATCGCTGACGCACTGGTGCAGTATCCGGAAACCCACAGTCTGCTAGCACCGGGGTAACATGACCTCCGAGAAATGCGCTTATGTACTACGAACCTGTTAATCACACGCAACAGCTGGACTGACGTAGTTGATGGTGGAGCATGGGTTGAGGGTGTATCCTACGACTTCTCAAAAGAGTTTGATCGCTTAAGCCACCGGATTCTCTTCCATAAACTTTAGCTGCATGCCGTTGGCAACACACTGCGGTGAAGGATAGCCGACTTTCTGCAAGAACATCGGTAGAACGTAGGAATACGAAAAGCCCTGTCTAACGCAAATGAGGTGGACTACTTCGTTACAAAGGCCAGGTGCTCATGCCCCGTCCTTTTTGCATTTCATAGAGGATTTGGCGAGTGCAATTATTTCCGATTTTTATCCTTCGCGCTGAATATCAAGTTATGGCTAGCGCACAATGAACCGAACGGCTATGAAAAACGCCAGCGTGACCTTATCACGATCACAACCTTGTCAGTTCTCTATACCTTGCCGCTCAATGTCGAAAAGTGTCACGCCGTTCATTTGCACCATAGGCATGACTACGTGTATAGGCTTTGGTCACCTGCATTGGAAACTAAGTGTCAAGGACGCGAACTTTGTGCGCGCATTCAACATGACAAATGACGCTGACGGACACGCACGTCTCTTCAGCTTTTTCTTCCGTTTGTAGCCTTCCTCGAGGACAATCGTTTGTGTCCACCCTTCCGGTTTTATGGACTCCGCACCATACAAGCGCACAATCAAGGACAAATATATACTAGCCCTAACGAAGCCAGATAAAGACAACATGGGTGAGACGCCTTCGCCGCTGCAGTCTGGTCAAAAGTTACACCGTCCTAAAACGGCTAGGTTTTGCGGAAGACCATGTAGAAATCATACATCCACTACTTATTATAGTAATCGCGTACAAGGAGTATTCACACAAGACATTTTCACTATGCATGCAATAGTACTGGGTTGATGAAAATGTAAATTACCTAAAATAAGAAGTAAACTATCGAGGTTACGCGAGACACATCAAAGGTCGCATGATCATTTATGTAAAGCCAATATGCAACCCTTTGTGAGGCAGTATTTGGCCACAGCCCAAATTATACCCTAATTCATTTAAGTCTCATTAGTATTATTATTATTATAAGCAGACGGCGCTCACTCTGGAACAGAAACATGCTGTCTCGGTTACAAAACACGTAAGGAGTCAGGGAACGTTACGCCGGTCCCCTGCTCAATGATTTAAAAAATCCTCCAAGAGATATCAGAACATGCTTACCGGTGCTTATTTTTGAGCTTGCGGTTAGCAGGCTAACCGTCTAAAACTAAAGTAAATTGTTGAAGCTAGCTGAATCATTAGATAACACTATCGGATGCGGTATAGATGGTGCATGACTAAAGCACGAGCAGCAGTTAAATATAAAAGTTGGGACCGCGTTCCAAATTCCTTACATTTCATTTTTTGGTCCGAGAATCTTTTATTTGACAGTGAGGAACCCTGGTATAATAGCAGGTGGATAATACAAAAAGCGAGTTTGTTTACTTCATGCTACCTAAATGTGAAAAATAAGTGCATATTAAGGCTTGCCTTGTCTGCATTGCAGTCTCCATTGGCTCTCTGTTGACCATTTATAATCCATTTAGATATAAATAAATGTAAATATAGGTATATTTCTAGACAAGCGCTAGATGCTGTTCCTTCCTGGGATCAGATCAAATTGTACATAACATCCATGCTCATGCATGGAGAAGAAATATCGTTAGCAACTGCTTTTGATGGTGTTTATCTTCCTGAACAGTAAAGCAGGGATAAGTACAAACGTTTCGTAGGCCTC